CCCCAAAACCCCAAAACCCCAAAACCCCAAAACCCCAAGTCACATTCCGACTCTAAACCTGATATATAGCTACTAAAAATAGTTCGAATATTATATTACTAAGGGAGAAGTAGTTATCCTTCTACGACATAGACCGAATTGTTACTTTTTTATCTAAGTTTGTATTGCTGGGAAAGTTACCTAGCCATTACTAGCAATATTCCAAAGCTCTACATAAATGTGAGGTTATTGAGCGAATAACTGCCAGTATTAATAAACTACCGTTGAAGTGTACGTTTAAGCAAGTATTTAATCAATAAAAGTATTTTAATTAGAGAACTCAGTTCCATGAGTTTTGGTAAATTTTTGAAAATCGGTGAAGACAGCTGAAGTTAAACACTTCGAACCAGAAAGAGTCTTAAACTCAACGGCCCGCTTGCCATCTTTCTTCTTCTTCAGAATGTTCACCTGTATCTCTGCTTTATTATGGTGTTCACCTACTTCAATGTTGACACGATAGAAGTTAGGAGATTTTACATAAGAGTAATTTTTTGACGTGCAGTACCAGACCACTACATCAACTAGTATATCTCCATCTGGCACAGTGATGTAGTTTGTGACTAAGTCTTCAGACTCGCTGCTGGTCATCTCGACATCTCTAGATTTAGTGGATTCTTCTGACTCATCAGAAATATCAGAATTTTTGTTAGCCGTCACTCAATCCTTATTCTCTTCTTTTTGACCGGATGTTTCGTCACTTCCTGCCAGAGCCTTCTTCCGAAGTCTGAATTCAAATTCAATATCTTCCTTCTTTGCAACCGGTCCGTTGTACCAGGAATGATTCTGGATGTCTTCAAGGGAGAACCTCTCAGAGGGATCAAAGCTGAGCATCCCAGTCATCAAGTCCTTGAAGTCTTCAGAGAATTGTTTAGATTCTCCATTCGAGTTTTCGTGCAGTGTCCAAAACTGTTCAATGTCACCTTTAATGAGTAATTTGTAATATTTATCGTTCGGGTCTGCTTTGATAAATGGACAGTGCTTTGTTGTCATGATGAACAAGATCACAGCTGCAGAGAATATATCAGCCTTCTTAGGATCATGAGCTTCATTCGCTAACACCTCAGGAGCCATATAACCAAAAGTGCCCCTTCTTTGAGAACAGATGTCCTTTTTGGTTGAAAACCCAAAATCGGCAAACTTCAAAGTGAAGTCACTGCCGAAGAGGATATTCTCAGGCTTGATGTCTCTATGGGAGTATCCTTTCGAATGCATGTACTTCAGAGTGTCTACAATCTGGTGAAAGAAGAACCTAGTTGTTCGTTCGCTGAATTTTTCTCCATTGGCAACATAGTCAAATAATTCGCCATTCTGAGCATATTCCAGTGCAATGTAGCTTAAGTCTACTACTTTTCCCAATGTATTTGTAACAGGAGCACTGACATCACTATCCTTGAGTTTTAATATGTTCTCGCTATCTAGTTCCTTCAGAACTGCAACTTCGCTTTCAAACAGGTTTTTACGGTGAATTCCTTGTCTAGTGTCAGAGTTTTTCATCAGTTTTAGAGCTACTTTTTGGCCAGTAGAGACTTCTTCTGCAAGCATTACCCTATAATGAACTGTTTAGAAATTGAAAATGAAATGGGAGAGTACTAAGCTCTCGAATTAATGAATCAAAGTGGCCACTTACTTTGAAAAGCCTCCTGTTCCGATTTTTTTTATTAGCTTATAGTTTCCAATAGTCGTCATTTTAAAAATTATTATTAATTATTGCGTGATTTCTTGCTATTTATGCAATTTCAACTTAACTGAACGAATCTGGGGTTTTGGGGTTTTGGGGTTTTGGGGTTTTGGGGTTTTGGGGTTTTGGGG